GAACAACTTGTGTTTCGCGCGCTCATATGACCTTAGCAGTTGCGAGCGCCGTAAAACCTTATACTACTACTACAGGACCATCATAGGACAGGAGGACTAGCGGGAGGAGCACCCACAGACAGGAGCATCTGCAGGAGGTATTTGTCTGGGAAATATGTCTTGGAACACTACTTGTTTATTTATTATTGAAGTAAAATTAGAAAAATACCAATCGGTTTTTCTGATTTAAAGTGAAAAGTTTTAATTTGGCACTTAGGTGGAAAGGGTAAATGATAAAACATATACTGAAAGATTTTTATAAATGTCTGTCTTTTTAAACTGATAGTAAACAATTTTATAGCGACCCTTTTTCTACTTTGAAAAATTAGCAATCTATACAGATGCAAGTTCTTAAGAAAAAATAAATAAAGGAAAAGTTTTAAAACATATGTGCTGACAGATTTTAAAAAATGTCTGCCCGTCCTTTTAATAAGTGCTATGAAAGGTAGATTTTAGGAAACTCTGTAGGTGGCACTTACTTGAAAAAATTGCCTCGTTAAAATATGCACCATCAAGAACTACCACTATTTCTTATAGCTGTTGGGTGGAGAATGCCTTTGTAGGGTCATTCCTTTTTTTTCTTTTTCTCCGTAACTTTATTTCTCCTGTGTGCGCTAAGTGACCATTATTGCAGCTATCTACATTGTCTTTATTCAAATTTAGTAACTCACTCTACCATAAATATTTTTCTTAGAAAGATGCCAAGCCAACAGTTAACAGCTACCAAAGAAGCAGATACCATGCCCTGACAGGAAGGACCTTCCACTCACCCTGGATGGTAACATCCCCGCGCTGCACATGACATCCAGCCAAATGAGTGCTGTGCTAACATGATTAAATTGTGCCAATAGCACCGTGAAACAAATTTTCTTCAATTAGTCATTCAAGAACTAACAGACATTTGCCAGGCATCAAGAATCCTTTCAACATACAGCTCTCTTGAATAGACATGTCAGTTCCTCCAGATGACTGCCATGGACTACTTTAAGTTGGCTGTTTTATTTCTCTCATGTGAAACTGTGTTGATGGCATGACATCCTTCAGTCTCAGGATACTATGGATCTGCGCCATAGGAGATTTCAGGTTCGAGAGCAGCGCTTGCTGTGGCTGAACAGGTCCACACAGAATGGCAGTCCCTGTAGCCGTGGCTGCACTTGTGAGTGGTGTCTTCCTGCGTTGGTAGCCTCTGGCTGTTCTTTCGGTGATGACGTTTGTCCTCAGCTACCTGTCGCAGTCGGGCTTCACCTCTGATGAGACCAGCTCCCAGTGTCTCCCACCTAAGAGCCCATATTAAGCGATTTCATATCTCGCTTGCACACATCTTTGAAGCGAAGATGGGGGTGCCCTTGCACTTGCTTTGCGAAGGCCAGCTCACCGTACAATAAATTGTGTTGATAGTGCTGTAAAAACCAGCAAAGACTCAAGAAAATAATATTCCTTGTATGATGTCCAGATGGAGATTTTGTAATGAAGCTACTTAGAAACAATGTCACTGATATAGAATGAAAAGAGGTTTTGTTCCTTACTTTCAGTGCAAACTTTGGTGACAACAGAAGGTCTAGCCACTTTTCTGGTCAAACAGGTCTCACAGTGCTCTGTTGCTACGATTTCCGTATATCACACTCAGGCTTAAAGTGATGCAGTGGGGCTGAAGAGATAGGCAGATAGGTTGATAGGGATCTAGGTGGATAGGTTAGGTTCAGAGTAGGATTTTGTAGATATTGCCATGGCCATGGCGGGAGGTAGTTGATGGGGCAGTGTAGTTTTTTTTTGGGGGGGGGGGGGTGGTTGCAGGGGTAGAATGGTGTGGGTAGAGCTTCCTGCTGATTTTGAGTTTGAGTGTGAGGCTGTTGGAGTGGATTTTTTATTCTGTAATATTTCTTGCACTTTGTTGGTGCTGTTAATGTTAACTGACTTGATCAAATTGGGTCGATAGTGCTGTAAAACACCTACTCAATCAATCATGACTTGATCAAAAACAAATAAACAAGCACTGCAAGCTGTTAGTTTGGCCTTTGACCTTCTGTGGTAGACGTTCTGTTACCACCAGTATTTTTTTAACTTGAAGTTTGGAGTTGTGAAAAGTTTGAAGTCCACTGATTCAACAAAATTGAAAGCCTTTAGAGCGCTACAAAATATTTTTTTAAACACAACGAAAAGCTTGTTTACTGTAAGAAAAATGGTTCAACAGCCAATGTGTATATACTCAGGTCTTCATGTTTTTGTTGGAGATTTACTCCAGCCCCTCTTTGTAAAAGCTTTGGAACTTTATTCTGATCCCTTCTTGTTAACCTGTTAGAACTTTACTTTGACCCCACATTCCTTGACTTAACTCCAACCCCTCTTGGTGACCCTCTAGTAGGACTTATTAACTTAGTTCCAACCCCTTATTGTTGATTATTTAGAACTTTACCTTTGGTCCGACCCCACGTTGTCAACCCTCAGGACTCATGTCTTGACTTAGCTCCAACCCCTCATTGTTGATCACTTAAAACTTTTTCTTTTGTCATATATCTGTTTTTGAATGAAGGCTCATTGAAAACGCTCGTGTCATCTTTGTTTTCACGCTTCGATCATTGCAGTGCTTTATTAACTAACATACCAAATAGTTACATTTTCAAAATCAAGCTGCAAGGCTAGTACTACAGAAAAAAGAAGAGGAATCACATTACTCCCATCTTAAGAACGTTGCATTGGCTCCCTTTGTCAGCTAGAATAGCATATAAAATTACAATATTATATCATAAATGTGCCAATTAATTAAGCTCCCTCATATATCAGTGATCTCATCCAAATTTATGCTCCAAACTCTAGATCACTAAGATCGGGTGATC